GGAGGTGCCGGAGAGCTGCTCGGTGCATCAATCCACGTGTGGAGGTGAGCTAGCTAGTTGTGCGCTAGTATGGACCCTTGTCTTGAACATGGCAGGCGCGCCCCGGGTCAGACATTCGCAATATCCTGCACCGCCGCCGACAGAGATTATCCATACCGAAACATGATTTGAAATAAGATATGATCGGACTGAAGGTATGGCAGACTCTACACGTACTATGGCTCGCTGCTGGCGAGCGTATACAAGACTGATGTGGCACCGAAATTTGGTAGGTAGCACCGCATGAGACATATTCCAGGGTGCAATGTGAATGAAATTGTATTGACTTCATGCAAGGGTATCTGTCTGAGCATTGCTACTTCCGTGTAATGATGTCGCTTTATAAAATCATGAAGAAGGACCCGGAGCAGTAGCCTCTTCCTCTGTCGTTGCCCTCTCCTTGCCCTTGGTGCCTACACTTGCATTCGACTCATCTTGTGGCTCGAGATCGGCCTCGGTCTTCTTTTCATCTCTCTGCTCGCGCTGTGCTTGGGCCTCTTCTTCCCTTCTTCTCGCCTCTTCCTCCTGGCGTTCCCTCTCTTCTCGAGCTGCCACCCTTTCGAGTCTCTCCCTCTCCTCTTGCGCGTGGACCATCCGCTCTCCAACACCAGGAAACAAGCTGGCAACAAACAGCGCAAAAGCGCGTTCGACTGTACGCATGCTGTCCCTGAACCATCCAAATCTCTGATCTCTCCTCTGCTGCAGTATTCTCCTCGCAGCTTCCTCGGGTGATAGGTTACCTCGATGTTGCGTTTGGCGCTGGTTGTTGGGCTGAGCCACGCGTTCGGCCAAGGCTCCGACAGGGAGAAGAGCCTCGAAGTGACGACGAACAACGTTGAACTGCTCTTGAAACATGCCGGCTTGTGCTAGGTAAACCACACCTGCGACGATACCAAGCATGATAGGTCTATAGAGGCCACCACCTCCTGAGAAGAAGTAAACGAATGCTGCCAGCTTGAAGATCAGCCACATATGCCCAGCGACGTTGACCATACGATCGTTCTCTTCGGGTTGGTTTACGTTTACGTTCGCGTTTTGATTCTGATTTTGGTTCTGATTCTCATCTTGATTCTGATTTTGATTTTGATTCTGGTTTTGGGTTTGGTTTTGATTCTGGATCCAGTCCCGACGTTGGGTCTGGCTCATGTTGGCTAGCTGCCTGGGCAGCTCAAGGTTAGGGGGCGGATTCCCCCGTGCTATCTGCTGTCCAAGGCCATTGAGGAGCTGTCTGTTCTGAGCAAACTGGTTCGTAAAACTCTGAAATGGAAGTGTCGAGACCATGGGGGCAGTGGTGTATGTGCCTTGCTGATCGAATAGAACGCCAACCGGGCCCTGAGGGCTTGATAAGAGAAACAACTCCGTTGGCGCATCTGCAGGCATTGCCTGAGTAGTGTTCTGTGTCCGTGGTTGAGATGTAGTAGGCACAGCTGGAGTCATTATCGGAGCGCCTGGTATTGTGCTAGAGGAAGGTCCGAGAATCGGAGTGTTGATGGCTGTGGACATGCTTGATCGACTGGGGCTTCCGCCTTGTTGACGATCGAGTATGATGTTCAATTCTAGTGCGTCCACTCTAATCTCGGTTACTGAGCGTCTCAACGCTACCACCTCGGGTTCTGTAGGGAGAAGGGCGAGGGCCCGCTCGACAACGTTCAAGTTCTGGTTGATGGTGTTGAGGTGTTGGCGGATGTGATCGATTCGCCAAACTGGTAGGTTCAGGGGAGAGGTGTTTGAAAGCGAAAGTCGATCAGTCTGTGTCTCCGATGGACGCGCAGGCTGCAGCAAGGTTCGCACGTTCTCCATCTCGCGTTGTGCTTCCTGGAAGATTGTCTGGATGCGTGGCAACAAGCGCTGGGTACTGTCGTGGCCCATTGAGGGAATAACGCCCGGCGGGACCGGTGGACGACCAAACGCTAGCGGTGGAGCAAGACCGAATGCAGGAACGGGCTGTCGAATCTGCGCAGGTATATTGACCTGATTGTATGTGACTGTCCATCGCGCCCCGTTAGGGCCCACGCCTTCGCGTCGTAATGGTTGGTCGCCATTTCCAGGGAGATTGGGCAGTCCTTGAGCGGCGTCCGCGGGTCTCGGTGCGTCTGGTCCTGGCTGCTGGGATGTCGAATCTGGAGTCGGCTCGTTGTTCTGCTGTCCCTGTTGCGCCATGGCCTGCGTGAACTGTTGTTGCAGTTGTGGGGGAAGAGGGAGAGGAATGGGAACCGCGTTTGCTTGGCCCGGGATATGATGGTGGTGCGGTCGAGCCTGTGGCAGCGCGCGGAATGGGTTCGTCTGCAGAGGGTTTGCGGGTACAGCCGGGGCTTGCGCAGGGCGGAAAGGGTTCGGGACAGTCGCGGATCGTGGCGTAGGTGACGCTGGAGGGTTCCCAGTAGTCGGGAGCTCCCGCAGAACCAAGTGGAGGCTCTGGTCCTTGTTCTCACGTAGCTGTATTCACCATCAGCGTGGGTCTACCGCACGTGGTTGGCGACCCTACATTGTCCACGCCAAACACATTGCTCAGTGTGTCGGCATCATTGGCCACTACTCTGCCGCGATAGATGAGGCGCATGCGCTCTGGGGCAGGCTTTGAGGGCGCGGCATCCTGTATGCGGCTCCGGAGCTCTTTGACCGTGGTGGAAGCGGGGACGTCTGCGAGGTTCACACCACCCTCGAAATCAGACGAGGGTGAAAGGATCTTGAGGTTGACTGTCTGCGCTTCTTCCGCCATGGCCGCTGTGTGTAGTGAGGGACTATGGTGCGAGGTGGAGAGTGCAGGTGGAAGTCGGGAAGTGACGACGTGTCCGAATTAGAGCCTGGTATCAGCTTAGGACCACGGTCGCGCCTGCCATCTGCTATGAAGTCCAGGCGGATAATCTGAGCGTCAGTGCCGCCTCGACTTTGGATGTTTCGAGAAGCTTGACCTGTGCACGCGATGCATTGAACTGTCCATATCCAGCGGTAGACGCCGTTGCGCGCTAGAGCCCCGTCGCCGATGGATACGTCATTGGCCAACCGAGGAAGTTGATTTTCCCACCACGCGACGCCATAGCCGTCATCTCGTCGCTGGGGAATTGGCCGTTTTCCGCACTGCAACTTTGAGACCAATGCATACAACATAGCCATGGCGTCTTCCTGTTCGCGCCAGCTCATGCGAGGCCCTCTCCGCCCGCGCTTCCAAACGCCCACACACCGACAGGCGCGCCTCTCCGTCCCGTCTCGCACCTTCTCCTCCACGCGCGCAACATATGAGCAGAACTTCCACAGGAAAGAGTCCTTCAGGTCACGGCTGAACTCCGCACTCAAGAACACCAAGATAAAATGGGAGCCAATACCAATTGCACTCGGCGTCGGCTTCCTCGGCGCATTCCAGCTCTATCGCATACAGAGGAGAGAAAAGCATACCGAGGCTGAGAGACAGAATGGCGAGGAAGGTGCAGTGGACAACCAGGGCCGACCGAAGAAGCGCGAGAGGATACGGCCGAGCGGGCCATGGACGGTCCAGGTCATGTCCACGCTACCTCTCAAGGCCCTCTCGCGAGTTTGGGGACGCTTCAACGAAATCGACATTCCATACTACCTTCGCGTACCCGGCTTCAAGCTCTACTCTTGGATCTTCGGTGTCAAGTCAGCAACCATCAGCCTAGTAGTGGCATCCAATGCTAACAAGTCACAGCCTCTCTGAAGTCTCCGAGCCCGACCTCCACGTCTACCCCAATCTCGCTGCTTTCTTCTACCGCACCCTAAAACCCGGAGTCCGCCCTCTCGACCCGAACCCCAACGCCGTCCTTTCTCCCGCAGACGGCAAAGTCATCCAATTCGGTACTATCGAGCACGGCGAAGTCGAACAAGTCAAAGGCGTGACATACAGCTTAGATGCGCTTCTAGGCTCCACCAAGCCCAGCACACCCGCCCAAAACGTCGCGAACTCTCAGGTCGTCACAAGCGAGCATGAGAAGACAGCGAAGGACGAAGAGGATACTGTCCGCGCAGATGAAGAATTCGCAAACGTGAATGGCATCTCGTATACCTTGCCCAACCTATTCTCAGGACCATGGCCAAAAGGCGGAAAGCCGTCTGAGATGCCCACGGACCAGTCCACCGCACCAGCTGCTTCTTCAGAAGCCGAGGTACGCGCTGAAATGGCCTTGAGCGAAGCTGAGCGCCCTTGGTGGGCACCGGCATCCAATAAGACACCTACCGCACTCTACTACTGCGTCGTATACCTCGCGCCTGGCGATTACCACCGTTTCCACTCTCCGGTATCATGGGTCGTGGAATCGCGCCGTCACTTCGCCGGTGAACTATACAGTGTATCTCCATACCTACAACGCACCATGCCCGGTCTTTTTACCTTGAACGAGCGCGTTGTCCTACTCGGTCGCTGGCGCTGGGGTTTCTTCTCCTACACACCCGTCGGCGCAACCAACGTCGGATCTATCAAGATCAACTTCGATCGCGAACTCCGCACCAACAGCCTCACCACCGACACTGCCGCCGATCGCGCCGCTGAAGAAGCTGCAGCTCGTGGTGAGCCCTACTCCGGTTTTGCCGAGGCCTCCTACACCTCCGCTAGTCGCGTACTAGGCGGTTATTCTCTCAAGCGCGGTGAAGAGATGGGTGGCTTCCAGCTAGGAAGTACTATCGTTTTGGTGTTCGAGGCGCCAAAGGGCATAAGACCCAGCCTCGATGAGGGCTTCACGGGTATGGAGAGGAAGGGTGGGTTCAAGTGGAACATTGAACAAGGAATGAAGGTCAAGGTTGGAGAGGCCTTGGGATATGTTGAGGAGACCCAGTAATAGTCGACTCACTCTACTCATGCATATGCAGCAAATGATACCATCTAGTAACTTCGATTTTGTCTCCGTGATACCTTCGCTTAGAAGCGATCATTGTTCCTCTGAACAAGAACAAGTGCGTCTCATTTCATCTCCTTTCCTCACATACCCTTGTTCTTCGCGTCCTGTTCCTTTTCACGGGTTCTGCTTCTTGAGGCTCGCCACAGTGAACAACACCACAGCTAATACAAATCGGAGAATTTTTGCCTCGATCAAGATTGATGCAACCTCGGCCAGTACGAAGCCCACCAGTTCGCAGAAAACGAATGTTCGCTCAGGTAGCAACAGCGCCAGAATGACTATTATCGTCATGAAGCAGACAATGAAGTCGCGGTGGTCAGTGGTAGAATCGCGGTGCTTTGCTCTTGAGCGAGACGAAAGATGCTTGGCAGAGACGATGGGCGGCTTCACCCGGCTGGATGCGCCAGTTTTGGATTTGATCTTGACGTAGGTGGTATGGTTTTTGTTGTCATCGTTGTTTTTGTTGTTGTTGTTGTTGTCGTCGTCGTCGTCGCAGATGTCCTCGTACAAATCGCCGCGGCCAAAGTCAACCCAACCGTCAGACCCGGTGCTCGAGAGGTTATCATCCGTGGAGTAGTCGGTTTCGCCATCGGAGGCGTTCCTAGCAGGTAAGAGTGGTCGCTCTGCTGGGAAGTTAGGAAGGAGCGTTTCAGTGTTGCTAAGGGGTGGCAGACTCATGGCAGCGTGGGAAAGGGCAGTGTAGATATTTGGTTCTTGCGCAGTCAGCACTGGGTGGAAGGAGTATTTGAGCAGTCGTAGAAGAGAGCTCGCGGAACGAGTAAATAGTGAGCAGGCGGCAACGTGAAGAGGAAAGAGCGCCCGGACTTGTCCAGGTGGTCTAACCGCACCCGAACGTGACTTCCTGGACTGTGAGGCTAGCTGGAGTATCGGATGAGATTGAGTGCATGTTTCGAGTTCATGCATATACAGCAAAGAACACCACCTAGCATACCCGATTTTCTTCTCATCAATTCTCAAGCTTGGAACTATATCCGAGTTGCGTGCTGACTGGAAACTGCTCTTCGTCTCTCGATTAACAATATGAGCCAGCTCTGCCATAAGTCCTGTCTTCCTTCCCGTCGTTCACACTGCTGGCTCACTTCTCACCCAATCTATATCTACCTTACATAACCGAGCACATCAATCCCACAACGACCATGAATGCCACAATCCAACAAACAGCGAACATGAACAGCATAAATCCGAATAAGAGCATTGCAACTCCAATTACGAGAGCTGCTGCCGCGCCAGCTGCGATCAAGATGTAGAGTAGCCCAGCGTTGCGCTGATCGCGGTAGAGTTCTACTGCGGGGACAGAGTGGTAGGGCTGTACAGCGTATTGAGTGTGGTAGGCATTGTAGGTAGCTACGCGGTCGACTTGGGAAGTGTTGTGGTCGTTGCTCGTGACGGCGTCGCAATGAAGATCAAAGCCGAAGATGCGGAGGTAGACGGGCTGGTCTGTTTTGGTGTGGTTGGGAGCCATGGCGGTGGAGAGCGGTGGTTCTGCTAGAATGTCAGCACAAAGCAAGGTAGTAATGCTTCTATGCGGTATACCTGTAGCAGTAAAAAAATTGGTTATGTTGAGGAACGTCGTTTCCTGCGCAGGAGACAGTGAGCGGAGTGGTCTGCTGTTGGTCAGTCGGGGTCGAGTTAGCCAAGACGGATTGAGTAAGCGAGATAGTGATGGTGACACAGAACCAGGACTAGGTCTGAAGACACTTAAACTTTGATCTGCTTCCGTGCAAGGCCACGCGAGTTATCAATTGACAGTGAATACACTTTTTTTAATTCTTTCTAGGAAGATTCATATGACGAAGCATATCTAGCATAACCTTCTCGCATCATGTATTCGTGAATCTCTTGCCACTCTTCATCGTTCTATCCTCAATCTCAACCTCCTCTGTTCCGACACTGATGCTGGCTACATGGCTCATTTCACCAGTGACATTTGTCCGGACATTGATCTATTGAGCCCGTGTATCTACTTCAATCAACCAACCACCCCCCATCATCCTCCCCCTCCCCCTCCCACCACATCCCCATCCGCATCAACAACCTCAAAGTTATTAACCTTCTCACCACCACCCTCATCACTAACCTTCCCCCTATACATCTGCGCTCCAACCACCATCCCGCATATCGCAAGCACGAGAAGCACACCCCAAATCATATAAATGAACAATACCTTCTTCCTCCTGTACTCCCGTTCCTTCTCCGCGTCCGTAACAGGAACCTCTGGTGTGTGTCCACGCGGAAGGTGACCGAGCTCTATGTCATCGGGGTGGGCGGGTGCGCGCTTGAAGAGGCGGGAGATGAAAGTTCCGTTTTGGGCGGGTTGGGGGCGGGGTGGGAGGCTGTCTGGGAAGGGCGAGGTCGGGGAAGTAGGTGAGGTGAGTTCTGGGACGGGGTGGATGACGATGAGGGGTGGAGAGGTTGGTGGTGAGGGTGGTGTTGACTGTTCTTGATGCACTTTTGGCCGCAGTGAAGGTGGAGATGGCAGTGACTCAGGGATTGACGGAAGTTGGGGTGATGTTTCGTATGCTGATGGTGCTTCCTCTGTTCTTGGGTAGAGTAACGTGGATAATGGGCGGCGTGGCTGTTCTGATGACTCCATCGTGGCAGTCTGAGGCGGACGTAGGTCGGTGGTTGATATCTTCATGACTTCGGCGCATAAAGACCTCGTTAGGTTGCTGGAGGTTACGGCGCTTGGTTCAATCTGGGTAATGTATTGATGCGGTGTGGTGAGAGTTACAAATGGAAAATCAGTGCCGTTTAGGCGCAATACAATCAGTGAGCGCACAGACCCGAAGTAAGAGTGAAGGTAAGATTACTTTGAGCTTAGTGTATTGTGTGACGCAACTGATACTTCTACAGAAGTCGTTCTCGAGTTGTCTTCCGTTCCGTTTTGAGTGTCCATTGATCGATGTCAATAGTCAGTCACCAAACTTAAGTAGCCGTATCCGGCCAACTTCCCCATGCTTGAGACGACTTCTCTTCTACATCGTACTGTCATCCGAGCTCTTATTGACAGCTCTCGTGTTCCGCCCATTCGTCCTCCCATTCCTCTTCACCAATAACCTCACCGCTTTCGATGAGCGAGGTAGACCTGCAACGACCGCATCTTCCAGCACTTCCACGGTCCAGAGGTCGAAATGTGTCATAAGCCTTTTCCTCCTGTGCAGTCAGTCCAGCCATACGGAGATGTAAATGCATGTCTATGTGCGGGAAGGAGCCGTCTGTAGGGCAGCTCGTGGCATGCATGGCTGATTCATTTCTAAGTGACCAATGGAAGCAATTCCGCAGGCACTGCATTCTGAAGTTGTCTGTCGATGCGTCGGCTGTGTCTCTGTCGATGAATGAATTGCGTATGGCTACGTGAACGGGTCGAGATCTGGGTTGGTTTCCTGGGCGCAACTCAGGCGCTGCTACGCGCCAGTCTAGGAGACGGCTTTTGTTGGTCCAATAGGTTGTGTTTGCGTATGACAATCGAGTCACCACATCAGCCATGGCGAAACTGCCGAGAGAGATACTGTTGACGATAATCTGTGCTGGTAATTTGCTGATGGCTCGTAACTTTGGATGTAGCACTTCACCAGCTTCTAGATGGATCTTTTGACTGGTACCGAGGATCGCTAGGCCGGGGACCTTCTTGGAAACTATCGTCATCGAGTATACAGGCCATTTCGAGGAGGGAGTCTGGAAATGGGCTCCCTCTTCGAGAAAACGCTCAGGTAAGTGAGTAGAGTGATAGTGAGAGTTGTTGAACCAGAAAGCAAAATCGTTCGTTCGAACGACATGGTGTACCGTTTTGACTGGGAGAAATTTGTAGACCATCAAGCGCAGTTCTGTTGGTAGATCGAGAAATCGGGACACCTGTTGATTGGCCATGGTCGAGAGAGAAGGTTGGAGAACTCTGTAGTTTGTGTTAAAGTGGTCGTAGTAAGGACAACGCTCGTAAAGTTTCAGTGGAGAAGTCTCGGGCAATGGAACTGAAAATTGCGCAGTCCCATTACGTAGTGATTGAAAGTTCACTCAATCGTAGTCAAAGTTTGCCTATAGACGCTTTGTGCGAGATCACAAGGCTACATTTTGGTTGTCATTCAGTGGTAGCGCGATGATCCGTGACGACGAGCTACCTACAACTTCCGCAATCCATACGGTACCGACATGCGAATCTGCTCTTGTTGAGAAGTATTGCGGTAATACCCAACTCGCGGGCGTGCGAATATCGGGGTTCGCTTTACCTATGGTCTGAGTGAGCTCCTAGCAGACACTCTTGCGAGATGATTCGGTATTGCATCAATACTAGAAGTACGATCGAGAAGAGAAGCGCGTAATAGTGTCTCATACAGAGATCGTTCCTGGCAGCGCCGCACTTGCGCATACAGTAGTCCCCACGCACCTCCAAGGAGGCGTGCATAACCGCCTCACCGGCATACGTTCGCGTCGTTTGTTGTCCGGTCAATGCCGGTGAGGTGTCGGAGAGACCGACAATTGTATTTGGCTATATTGCGTGCATGAAGTGGCTGATGGTCAGCTTTTCGAGACCTCAGCCTTGTGTTGAGATTTGTGTGAAAGTGGTGTAACGTGGAAGCTTAGGAAACCTTACACAGGCATCAGAACCGAAACGATAGGCAAGCTAGTCCAACGCGGCTAGCACATGTCAGACGCCAAAAATAGCCCTATGACATTTTACGGAGCTGAGGGAACATGAGCGAGATGATGCACATCTGGCTCGTATGCAGATCCGCTCGCTTTGAGATAGTCCGTAATGGTGATGATGCAATCTGCCACTCTGGGCATTGAGCTCTTCGAACACGTCGCAGATGTCACGATGGCACAAGAAAAGCAAAACATTCAGTGTACAATAATGAGACGCGATATGTATAGTTTGCATACCCCAGGCGATACGCAGGGGCGGCTGCAGCTTCAGGCACGTTGAGCAGAGGAGGGCTTGCAACGCCGCCTAGACTAACAGCTGCTGTCCCCACTTGGCGTTCTTGTTTGCAGGTTCCATCCGCCGGGCTATGGGCACAGTGTATGTATCTGGATCCAGCGACTTTTGCTGTCGTCGCCTTGTGTCACTGGGATGCGGGAGTGCAGGCACAGAACGGGGAGGTCGAACAGCAGAAAGCGTTAGAGGCAGGCTGGCAGGAAATTGGCAATAGCAGCACTGCCACGGCTCGCGATATCAGCAACTTGGTCCGGTGTTAGCTGCACCGGGACTGGTCTTGCCTTCTCCATGTCATTCCATTAGTTCCGCATGCCTGCACGTGCGGCGGCTTGGGCTGATCACCTACGCCGTGCATCTATGTAGCTCGATGCATTGTACTTGAGGAAAGCTGTCCAACCGCGCGATGCAGTCTTACCCGGGTATAGTCTATGGTTGCTCAGTCTCGTTTTATTATTAGCTGAGCGCATCGTCTCCGCCCCGCCATCGACAACCTGCTCTGAGGCGGAGCTTGAAGCTGTCAACACTGCGATGCCTAACTTTCCATGGACCAAGTCGAATCGGTCGCACCAATCTGTCGACATTTCCTCGTCAGGGCAGCATTCGCCCGTACCACCTGGTAAGGAAGCATTTGGGCGCCCAATCGCCGGCGCCGCTGACGGGCAAGCGCTGGCAGTGAACGAGCACGTCGCCGCGCAGCGATACCATACTTCAGACAGCCAGCAGGCGCCTGTACAGGCTCAGCAGCCTTCTGTGCAACAACAGCAGGTCTCGGCGGGCGCTCCGCTACAGGGCCAATATAGAGAGCAGTTTCCTCAGCGTACGACGAGTCACAGGTTGAGTGCCCATCTCCCTCTGGGTCAGTCGTCGCCGTCGCAGGTTTACCAGCAACAACCCGGCCCCGCGCCAGTGTCTGGTGCTGAATCGCCTCATCGCGGCCCCTATCAGCCCCAGCCTGCGCCTTCTGCATACACGCCAGAAGCCAAGAAGCCATCGCTGCGCAGTCGCATTGCAGCCGGAGTCAAAGGGCACAAAGACCAGGAAGCCAAAGCACAGAAGAACGGCCTGGGCAGACGACAGTCAGTCCGGAAGAGCGACCCCCGCGCGCAGGAGTATCAGGCGCAGGAAGAGAGCCGCGTGCAGCAGTGGCACCAGCACCAAGGGTCGACTTCTCATCTGCCCGCTTCGAACGAGCAGGACGAAGACAACCTCGACCCCTTCCTGCAGAAAGACGATACGCCCCAGGTACCGCCCAAGGACATCCAGTACCAACAGAACCTGCCGCAGCCTCAGCAGTTTGCGCCGCAGCCGCGTCAGGAACAGCTGCAGCAGCCGTACAATCGGCCCCCACTTGACAGGGTAAGCACGGAGGGAAGCTATTCGACCCAAGGCGGGGTAGACCAATACAGCCCTGAGCAACACCAGGGCCAGGGTCTCCAGCAGCCACGGCACCAGCAACAGCAACAGCAGTACCAGAGCTACCAGCCAGCTGTCCAGCACCCACAAGCCTCGGGCGACTACCAGGCCTTCAA